CGTGGCCATGTTGTTGTAATACCCCAAGGACATGACCAATCCGTTGACCATTATTATGACCAACCATTCGAGATGGTGTAGTCATTTTTCCTTCAAAGCAAATGAGAGCAACTCACAGATGCTTCCACAAAGTGTGAAGTTGTTGAATTGATCTGTGATCTTTGCTATTTATTTCAACAGCTCTGCACAGGCTCAGTGAGCATATGTAGCCCAATATTTCAGTCGATGAACCGTTTGAACTAGCTAACCAGATCACTTCCGAAAGCATTTAAGCTCAAGTACCAGCGAACCATTGCGCCGAGACTTTAACTTAGCGTGCTGTAATGGTTTGCTTACCTCTTCGACCCATTGAGTCATAATGGGTTGTGCCTCCGGGCCTCTTGAGTTACTCCTACTAGGATGGACAATGGTTAGGGATCAGACGGTCTCAGTCTCTTGGTGCTCCAGATTGGAAGTTGGAAATGCAACAGCGGCAAATTTTTTAAACCAAATCATTGCCACCATCCCACAGCCTTGCGCACAGGCTTTTAGCCAAGGGCTTTGGTTGAGGACTAAAATTATTCCCCTACCCAGGTTTGGGCGCTATGCCAGTAACTCAGCCCACGTACAACCATGACTATACAACAAACTTCAAACACATCCTGCATCAGTCGCCTTAGCTGCTACATACAGCAGGGCGTATAAACGGAAACATGAAACTGCAGACGCCTCCCATCATTCTTTTTCATCTGTTTCTCTTACCTCACGAACCCGATTATTAACATTCCCAGGTTAACTGAAGGTAACCACCATGCCACTGAAGTTATAATATATGCAGCTATCTTGCTGCACTACCCAATGGACACCTATCGACAGCAGCCCGTCACAAAGACACATTGTCCAGTTTCCCTGGCGGCATTTAACGTTCGCACTCTAAGACAAATAGATCCACAGGCTGCACTCGCACGCACGTTGGACACCCTGGTTATGGACGTAGATTATGTCCGAAACTAGGACCAAGGATTCTCACGGTGTTGTTAAATCAACTGCGTCAGGGTTGTACTCTCGCTATTGGTTACCCTCATCCGATGCCGATGCGGCAATCACAGGTCATGCTTGGGTGGGCATCGTTCTCAGCTCCAAGACTGCGTCATCGCTGGTTTAGTGGATTCCCGTGAGCAGCCGTTTGCGTGCAGCCCGTTTGACGAAATCAACTAAGGCTGATTCACGAAGTAGTACAGGACGCTGTTTGTTTGTGGTTGCCACTTATGCTCCCACCGACTACGGTTCTGACACTGTCAAGGACACTTTCTGCCACGAACTAAACACGCTGATTTGCAGTGTTACCGGTTCATATATCGTTGATGTTGCTGTGGATATGAATGTGCAATTAGGTTTTCTGAGATCTCCAGAATCTGAGCCTATCGGTAAGTATGGACTAAACTCCGACCGGACTAACAATAGCAAGAGTCTGTTGCAACTGTGCGCAGAGCACCAGCTGTTTCCTAGTAGCACCGCTTGCAGACACAGTGCCCCTTGGCGCCATCCTGTAACCGGTCAGCGATGGATCCAAATAGAAGAAGTTGCCGTAAGTTACAGATGGTGTGGTTCAATCCTGGATTGTTGCTCGTTCTGGAGTACCTGCGTCGAGTCTGATCATGTCTTTGTAGCATGTCATTTTTCAATGAATTTTACCGGGAGGCGTATCAAGCGCTCCCTCGATTGATGATTGAGGATTTATCTGTCAGGCAAGCCTACCGGGATGCCCTGTGTACCGAACTTTCGCTTTCTTCTCTTAATGACATTGGGCTACAGTGGAATAGGATCTCGGCCGCCAGGCACGAGCATCTGAACCGCACCAGTCACTAGATATCCGAGAGATCGGTGAACCCGTTGGAATCCAGAAGAAACCTTCCTGTTGGATCTGAGCACCTTGTGACCGGACGGACTATTGGGTAAGAAGTAAAGCGGAGCCTACATGCTGACAGAGAAGCTTGTGACCAGTCGCGCTCAAGAAATTGAAAAAGCGGGAGCAGTAAGCAATTATCGCCCGCTCTTCCAGGTGACCCGCATCACTGGTCTCAGGAAACAAGGCGTCAGTGAGACAATCAGAGACAACGCAGGTGCACTGATCCACAATAAGGTGAGCCATATGGCTCGTTGGACAAAGCACTTTCGAGAAGTTCAGTTGGCTCCCTGCTTCCGGACCTTTTCCTACGCAAGTGGTGCAGGTTGAGCCATGGCTGGTTACTTTAAAGGTCACATCTGAGGCTGTTGTCCGAAACGCGATCACAGCCCTTAATCGCTTTAGGGCCGCTGGCCGGATTCCCTCCCATCGGCACCATTTAAGGATGAAGGTGAGGTGCACTTCAAAGCACTGACCTCCTTGTTCAAAGAAATTTGGAAGGTCAGTCCCGCCAACTGTGCTAGCCATAGGGGTACTAACCTAACGCTAGTTGTGACAAAACTACTAGCCTCAGTTCTCGTTCGTCACCTCACTGCGGAATAGAAATCACGAACTATTATGGAACAGGCTGGTCAGTGTCTAGGACGGGGTTGCATAGACCATATATTCTCTCTGCGGCAGGTGCTAGAGCAGCGTCACACGTACCGTAGACCGACAATAGCTGTGTTCCTCGATCTCAAGACTGCGTTCTATTCAGTCGATCGATGCATTCTGTTTCTAATACTTACTCAGAAAGTTGTTCACATGAAATATCTGAACATGTTACGTGCTCAGTACACGAACGCTACAGGCCGCGTCAGGGTCTACGGTGAACTGTCGGATTGCTTTCCGACAACCATTGGCGTCCGTCAGGGTTGTCCGATTTCCCTCTTTTTGTTCACTTTCATCGTGGACTCCATCATGGAGTGTTCGCTTGCGGAAGCTCATGATGCAGGTGTTGAAATGCTGTTCGGTGAAAAGCTAGTTGATCGTGTTTATGCGGAAGATATTGTTCTGCATTTTAACGATGTTGAGGCGGCGCAGTCAACCCTGAATATACCCACAAGATTGTTCCACCCATTTGGCATGCGCTCCGCACCTTCAAAGTGCAAAATGTCGTTGCAGAAGTACCAGACAATTGTTGATCTCTTAGCCCTTGATAGCGAGGAAATTGAGATAGTTCATCAAACTTACCTTGGTAGGTATATCAGCAATGATTGACGCCTAACCGCTGAAGTCAGTTCACGTATTGTAGAATCTATAACTACCATTCTGAATCTGCAATCGGTGGCGTCAGAAAGGGATTTCTCTCCATCTGAAAGGCTGTGTTAACAAGACCACAGTGAAGGCCGTCCAACTCTGTGGGGTGAAACTTGGCCCCTTCGATCTGAGGATACACGGCGCCTTCAAGTCTTTGATCATCGCTGATGTCTGGTGGCACCAGCCTGTCCGCAACCATGATGTGCGTAGGCGAGTGCTAGGCAGTGGTAATCAAGCTAGTTCGTTAGAACAACAGATAGCACTGAATAAGTTGCTTTGGCCTGGACACGTACTACTTGTGCCCGGTCATCGCTTACCGAGGAGGGCTTTGTTTTGTTTGCCAGATGTAGGGTGGCGCACGGCTCGAGGTGGAGAAATGTTAGCTTGGCAGGGGAAATGAATTCACTGACGATCAAACTGAGTGCCGTCGATCCGTCTCGCCTTCCAGTCTGGAGTCCACGTGACCCACCTTGTACTTGGCTTGAGATGTTTCAGAATATGATCCGCAGTTGGCATCAGTAGCGCGTCAACTGCCGTCTCGTAGTCGGGTTACCAGTTTAGTGTCGTATACGGAAGTCCAACCCACATGCTGTATCCGTCCCTCGATTTAACTACTGATCACATCCAATCAGACAATTGGACAGACCAACCAATCACCGGCGAGTCAGAGAACCGTATAAACTAACACTGATGGTACACTAACTTGCATTGCTTTGCCTTCCCTTGCGATACTGCTGTATCAATACTACCGGTCCCATCCACGAGCTAGTATTCTACGCACCTACTGAAAGTAGCCCAGGTTGTAACATAAAGTGTGTTTCGTGCTGAGTTATGTGTGGTAATGGCTGATTATAATGCGGGGCAGTAAAAACCGCAAGGAAGCTGTCTCCCCGAATTTTTGCACGATAGCCTTCTGTTTGTGACGATATGTAGTTGACAAGGTATAGGCGCCTTGACCCTGACTGTTTGCTTAAGGCACTAAGGTTTCATGCTGGGTCACTCTTCTTTCCCAGTAATTATTCTTTGCTCTTTAGGTCGCCGTGATTGTATCACAGCGAAGCATCAGTTTTAATAACCGATGTACTGCTTTTCATTATGAGATCGTCTTGGTTGCACGACAGCGAACAACCAGTTCATATGGCTGAAGTACTGACTTTGATGATGTGGATCAGAGGTCCAGACTGGATATTAGGGCAAAATTCTTTGCGAATCGTGTAGTTCTCAGCTTCACTCTGTCTTACTTGACCGTGGTATTGGAAAGCGTTCAAAAAATCCCCGTATAGATGTTGGCTGGTTTTTGCCGGAATCTATCGAAATTTATCGCCGAAACCTTTTGATTTATATAAGTAGGCAGATTGCTAACTACCGGGAGCCCTTGCTTAATTGCCGGCACAAAAAAACAGGACACTAACTAGGCGGGAGCCTCTATGTCCCCTGGAACCTGACCTCCTTGACCAATACACTTAAGTTAAATAAATGCCCAAATGAACAGAATTGTAAGAATTTATACTGACTATGTTTCGTGAACTAAGTAGTAAAACATGTTAGTAGTGGGGGTTGCTGAGTGCGACAAACCCAAAAATTTTCGTGGAACTAAATAATACCAACCCGTATTTCCATTATCAAGTAGTATACAGAGACGTTCAGTCTCTTTCTGTAGGCTATTTGTCGCACAATGACCACGAAAACTAGCTTGTGATTATCTCTTCAAAGAGCCTGATAAAATGAGTCCCATCTCCATTGCACTCGAACCATTCATGCGGGAAAGTCCACTGGTCGAGGTACGATGCAAATCGCGTGACAATTTCGAAGTGATGGAGGATCAATAAGTCAACACACTACATTGTGATCCGTATGGCTGCTGGTTATACTTCTTCGGGAAGCAAGGAAGAATGTAAACATCGACCACCAATATATCCATTGGAAGTGATTGGTGTTGCTGGGATCTTGGTACTGTCCGTAATCGTTCTCTATAAGTATTGTAGAAGTAGGCGGCTTACAGATCTGTTGAGTTGGCTGGAAAGTACAGTTCAGTCAACAGCAACATCGCACAAATATTCGTTACACGTAGACCACGAAGAATGTGGAAATGATAATGCGCCTTTCAGAGATGATGTACATCAACAGAAATGGATACCAGAAAATCAGTCATCGTCAAAGGAAATGAAGGTAAAGACTGAGAAGCCCATGCTGTTCTTTCATTGTCCCGCGGGTCTTCGATCAACGCAAAAGATAAGACAGTCATCTTTGCTGAAGAACAACGGAGCAAAATGTCTATCGAGCTATCATGGGCAAGTAGACGATAGCGATCAAGAGACCTTGTTCACGGAGTTAGAATCAGAGGGTGAACATATCTGCTTCGAAAATTTTCGCCAACTAGAGATCGATACCTCCAGACCGGATTGCATCCAGGCTTACAAAAAGATAATAGAGTCCGTTATACCGCAAACGGAGACCAAATTAGACACCCCGGGTCCAGATGGGAGGGGGTCTAACTCAATGAAGCAGAGTAATACATGTGGTATCAGACTGCGAGCAGAATCGGACATGGAGAAACTTCCGAACGAAGAAAAAGTGCGAGCAAACGGTTTTGATAATGAAAGTTTGTACATGCGTCAAAGATCCACTCTCACAGACTCTAGAGCTTCACATCTCCTCACCCAGATGAATAAATTGGACGGTGAAAGCGTTTTTAGAGAAGACGAACACTGTATAGAGCATTCTTTCCATGAAGCGCCAAGAAACTGTGAAATTCAAGATGCAGTTGTTCCGGGCAGAAATTCGATAGAGAATATATGTCATCGTCTGAAGGGGAAGAGTTTAAATTTGCAATCCCTCCAAAAGTCAGTCAACAGACAAAGCAAATTTCCAACGACCCAGCTACCATTAATTGAAAAGGTAGAGAAGATCATAACAATACGAAGACATACAATGAAACGGTTCTGTAAAACGTCAGACTTCCATGCGATGTCAGCTAACTTCGGTATCGGTGTCATGCAGGACAAAGCATTTGAGTTCACATATTCATCGAATGTGCAGAATAGAACGGTAGTCCATTCACTTAAAACAAAACTCGACTACGAAGAAAGTGAGACACTTCTGTCCTCCGATTCGACACGGAGTCCAGTATTGCCAGTGACAACAGTGGCGTCTGTGTAGCACATGAAGGTGTACTGTCCTACCCATTCCATCTGTCAATAAATCACACTTTCATGCACACCCCGCAATTCACCACCGTAAAAGGTGTACTGCTATGGACAGTGGTTGAAATTCGCATTGAGGTGCCGGCTAAACGACGGATTCTGAGTACTAGGAGGAATTCGCGTTACTGAAGAGTTTCAGTAGGACGAAATGGCCATCCGGATGTGTGACGATTGTCTGTCCACGATGAACCTTCCGGAAAGGCATCAAAGATCCCCAGTATCCCCTAACAAACAGCAACCGTTCGAGATGGTCTAGCAAGGGAAGTCGTGACTCAAGGAGGTTTACTCTGACCTTTTCATGTTCGTACCATGCATGCTGCAATGTAATGATCGCAGCTACTAAAATGTGAGAGTGATCCGTAACTGTATCGCTCAGGGATCCCAACCCAAGCATTTGGTCTTAAAGACGTGACACACAAGGCAGCGGGGCGGTTCACAAATGTTGCTGAATAAGAAGCCTGTTGACAGCCAGGTGGCTCATTCGCCTACTTTGTGTTCGGTTGTAGTCCACACAGAAGCCGGTGGCCAGCAAGGTTGTTCATCCGCCATCCGTTAGGTACTCACCACTGGGTAAAAAAATAAGTGGTTAGTGACCATATAGCCGGTCACATTGGCTTTGACAGCGCCGTACGAGCTCTTGTGGTATTTGATGGAAAATCAGGTGACCAGCCCAGGATTTCCCACGCTCTGAGACGCTGCCGCTGAATGTCCACGACTGCTTATCCATCTCGCCTGCAAAACAGACGAGACTTATTCGCAGTTATCTTCACAAGGAAGACATTCTCCAATCCGCAACCTGGGGACGCGCTCGATAGCGTACAGATCCGCCACGAGATCCAGCAGTTCAGGGGGCTAGGTCGTTGTTTCGTCATGGGTTCGAAGGCCAGGCGCTGCTGAGATGGTGATGGTTTAACATTCGTCTATTGTTTCTCCGAATGTTTGTTAGCTGTTCCAGGGAAGCAGACAGAGAGGGAACTGTCCAAAGACATAAGAGACCAGTACTACTCTCTGGGAGTTGGTCATCCTTTAAATGTTGCACAGACACAGCCAGCGGTATCGGGACCGGTCGATATTCAAGAAGGCGGTGGCTAAATCAAAGGTGGAAATATACTTGAGTTCTGGAACCATCACAGCCTTCGAATCGAAAGGAAAGATTAGAAAACAAAAAATGGAAGGTAATAAGAGCGCCACAATTAACAACGGTGAAACCGGTTTACATACACAATCGCAATCTATGTATAGGTCTCATCTGCTTACCAGTGGGTCGGAGAAAGACCGGTAAGCGGGTTCATGCAGAAAGAGCGTCATTCAGCCAAGATAAAAGCAATTCAATTTTCGTCGCAGTCGAAGAGCGTCTGAGCTCTACATGCTAATCAAGATGGCTAAGATAGGAAAGAGACAAATCGAAGGAGCCTCGTGGTACCGGTGAGGGGAGAAGACCAGTGGACAAGTACGCAGAGGCGTTTTACGCTATCACCAACCCAAAGAATTTCCGTTGGATTGTAGAGGCAAAGAGGATTTCGGCAAAATTTATACTCATTTTATATGAAGAACTCATCGCACAACGCTGGTCTTCAAGTTTAAACACATCATTAAACAAACAACCAAACTAGCGGGCACCGACGGACACAGAACAGAGAAGAGCGGGAGATGCCAGCCCAGATGCATATTGTAGTGGTCAGTGATCATATCCAACGATGATGCCACGTGAGTGGCAGTGCGACTTACATAATCATGGGTAATGGACTATTAATATTCAATGGGTCCAGCCTCTCTATGATGAACTGTAGATTGAGACTGGCTGCCCCGTAATTCAGGATAGGGTATTCTAGCAGACAAGGAACCGATTTTATCAAATATTATAGGGCTTACAAATTTCCGGTTCAGGGGCGTAACTAGTACACAAGAGAGGGTCTATGCAGTGGAACCAGGCTTAGCTGTGCTGAAAGGGATACGTCGAAATCTACGCTGAAATAATATCCGATCAGTAGCGTCACGATTATAGACAATGGAGCCTGCCTTCAACTACTGGAACGCGGATTTTAATGGCTTCACTCGAACAGCGAGCCTGATGGACTGGTCGCTACCACAGAATTCGTCAGTTGAAGCCTGTTGGTCTATCATAAAAAAGGGAGCAAAATCATTGTGCGCCGATTTGTTCCTCTCAAATATCGGAAAACTGGACCAGTCAAGACACACTGCTTTGACAAGGAGTATGGCATACTGGCTCCACAGTGACGCCGACTATGGAATAAATTCGTCCGACCTGTCTCTGTCGAAGATTACGTGGCGTACAAAAGGCAACGAGATGTCTGCAACAGCGCAAGGACGTGCAAACGCCGAAGCTTCGAAGACCAACTTGCAACCGTAGCACAACCAGCTCCCAAGAGGATCCTTGCATACGTAAAGCGACGCCTGAAGCCGACAAGTGATATGCCTGCGTTAGAAGTCTCGGACGAACAGCCCCTACTTTCCAGCACTGAGCGTGCTTCTGCATGATGGCGCAATTCGCTTCGCTTTTTCAGATAACCAGGCGTCCGTAACGAATTCGACGCACATCGCCCCTACCAAGCTGGACAGCCTGGATTACAGCGTTGAGAATGTGCTCAAATTGTTCACCAGTCTTGACGGTACCAAGCATGTCGGGCCTGATGGATTCCACCCGCTGATCCTCAAATCGCTATCGTCCATGTCGCCTTCGATGACGGAGCAATTCAACAGGTCAATGTCCACCGGCTCATTGCCGAACCAGTGGAAATGCTCATCGGTAAAACCGATTCCGAAAGGCGACGATCCGAGCAAGGTGAACAACTACCGGCTGATATGCCTGACCTCTGTTTTGACTAAGACACTCGAGAAGGTCGTGAAGCGTGGTCTTCAGCAGCGTCTCGAGTCGAAAAGCATCTTGACGCCCACGCAGCACGGTTTCATGAGTGGTCAGTCATGCATCACAAATTTGCTGCTCTCGAGGCACGAATGACTGCAAGCGCTAAACCAAGGGAAGTCGGTTGACGTCATTTACACCGACTTCAAGGTGAAACATGAGATCCTCCTTCGGAAGCTGAAGATGTGCGGTGTTGGTAACTCACTGCACCAGTGGATTAGTGACTTCTTTATTGGTCGGAAGTGGAGGGTGCAGGTGGACAACCACCTGACTGAGTGGTATTCCTCGACCAGTGGCGTCCCGCAGGGCACAGTCCTTGGACCCATTTTGTCCCTGACCCACATCAACGATTTGCCTCAGCTTCTCAGTTCACCTTGCGCGTTGTTTGCAGATGACCTTGTATGGAGGATAATTGAGGCGCCCGACGACTGTGACCAGCTTCAGGGTGACATTGACCGCCTCTCCATGTGGTCAGCAAAGGTCAAACTTCCGATCAACCCGGTCAAGTCGGTGTTTATTAGCCTGGACAAGGGTGGTAATTGCCGAGTCTACAATCTGGTCGGCCAACAGTTACACCCATCGCAATCCGTGAAGAATCGGCGTGCTCTCACGCTGCGATTTGAAATCCGTTGAAAACACGAACAGGCTTTACCAAAACGGACTGCGCATACTCTGGGCGCTCAAACGCAGCTTCTGTACTTGGTCCGAAAGGGTCACCCGCTTCCTCTATCATCAGACCAGTGGTAGAGTACACCTCACTCGGGGCGAGGTGCAAATGATTGAGCACATACAGCTCGTGGCCTCATCCCCGGTTTACGAGGTGTGCCATATGAAGACCGGTGCAAAAGAGTAGGGTTGGCCTCATCACGACGCATCGGATATTACATCTAGGTGAGCACCTCATGTTGAGGCCGCTGCTTCATCTGTGCACACCAAAGCAATACACGAGGACATTGGTACAAGCTTGTCGTACCGGATTTGTAACGGGTCGCTCACCAACGCTGCTTCGAGCGGAGGTTGGTGAATATTTGGAACAACCTGCCTGCATAGTCGAAGCAAAGTCGGTGTCAGAGTTTAAGAAACTCCTAGACTAGCACTTTGCCGACTTGAGATTCCGAGAATAATCCCCACTATAGTAGGTAGATTTGTTTAAAAGATATTAGATGTAGCTACACAGAGGCATCGCTACTCTCTGCATTTTCTCAGCATTCAGTATTCACAGTAACTCTCCGTTTAAATGATTTCTCTTTACTCGGTTAACAGTACGGTGAATGGAGTTTAGATTAATGTAATAAACTGGAGAGGTCCATTCCTCTAATGGTGACACGAGACCGGATATAACCAGATATTTTCACTGATCCATCTTCGAACAGCTATGGTCACGTATCAATGAATGAGAACTTCATTGTTGGGTCAACCGCCGTGTGTTTGAATTGCGACAAGCGATCCCGATTGGGATCACGGGTAGTCCAACAATTAACAATGAACTAACCGCTGTGTCAAGAGCTGCGCACGTATTCCTTGCTGAGTGCCTAAAGTGTAGGCTGTCAACCACTAGGTATCGTGTTCCAATCTCAGCTCAGGCTATCTCTACCTGGAGAGCCCAAATCAGGACGAAACCGGTCGGTTGTGGAGTACAGCGTTGGGGGAATGCAGAACCGAAACTCATCACTCTCATAAGAACTTAATTAAAATGGTGTGAACAATTCGGAGGAAAATATTAGTGCGCATTAAAACACGCATCATTTGGCGGCAGGCTGGTGGATGTTATTGGTTATCGTCACATATTTTTCGTCTCTTGCCTTGGATGATAAAAACTTGGAACACTAAGCACTTATAGACACCTACCGTTATGCATGGAGTCATGGAATCAACTATCCAGGTATTTAGTTACAGACAGCTGTTCTACTGCTGCAATTATTCTCCGTGGAAAGGCAAAGCCGGTCGCCGCTCCATCAACTCTTGCCTCGAAACCTCGGCGCGGTTCGACAGCCGATGGAGACAAAAATCCGGTGGAAAGATGCTATACGACTACCCAAAAACCCGTTACGCTTTCTCCATCAGCCTGCGAG